TATTTAATTTTCTAATTTATAATTTAATACAATAAAAAATACTATTGAAAAGCTCTTACTTATTTTCAAAATGCATTGCTTACTATATTTGTTAATTTTGAAACCCTCTAATAAGATCTTTTCTTGAAAATAGTCTTATATAGTATAGTAGCTATGATATTTTATAAGATCATTTTCAAGACGAAGCCTCAAAATAACAACTTTTAATTATTTCTAATCTAGAGCCTTGATTCTACTTTTGACAAACAATCTAGATTCTATTAAATCTAAATTGAATCTGCATTAAATTATATATAAAGCTAGCTTTGTAGCAAATCCTTAAGTTCGTTAATTAAGTTTTTTTGACTAATTCGAGTAAAAATCTTTGATCTAAATATCTGAATCTACCTGGATTTAAAGATCAATTCAGATAGTCAGATTAAGGATCAAAGCTTTACTCCAATTCTATCTACATAACTTTTTTATATACAGTACTTATTTCTATTAAACATATATATAAGTATTGTATATTTCTATTTAATATTAAATATTAGAAACAATATATGAAATAAAAATTTCATTCTAAAATAAGTATATAAAAGTTATGTTATATGAATAATAAGAGATAAATTAGTTATAGCTTAGGCAGTTGTATATAAGAGATTTTATAGTAAAGTATAATCAGCCGCTTATTTGGCCAATTATACTTTATTGCAAAATTTTGCTTACCCAAGATATAACTATTACTTATTATTTGACACACTAAATTTTTTAATTGTTATTTATTTAAAGTTTTATACCTTCAATATCATTATTGTTATCTTCATTGATATCTATATCTTTTGCATAATGAACTTTCAATGCTTCTATTAAAGGATAAACAGAAGCTATAATAGAATATTTTCTACCACTAAAATATTCAGTAGCATTGTTAAAAGGTTTTAATATCTCAACTAACTTTTGAACAAGTTTCTATTCATCCTCTTGCAGTATCAATGTTTGTAATATTGATCATCTTTTCATACATTTGTATTTTTTTAAAGAGGCAATATTGCTAAAAGCCATCTAATTGCAGAGCGCAGCTCAAATAACTTTTTTCATAATCAAAATTTGGAATTCTGATGAGTTAGAATATCTTTAATATTTCATAATATAGTTATATTCTTATGAATATAAAAGTGTGGTAACATAGG